CAACCGAGGGGATCCTGAGCGCCCGCACGGCGGGGGGAGGCCGGCGGGGAGGCCGGGAACCGGGGTGGAAGGCGGGGAACCGGGGGCATCCCGCAGTGGGGGTGGCAGACGTTGGAAAGGTTCATTTCCTGGTAAAATCGGGAGATGCGCTTTCTTTTCTAGTACCACCTTGAATTAATTTTTAGTTGAATTTCCAGAAGAGGCACCAGGCGTCAGCCAACCTTTGAGCTGCCGGTTTGTTACGCCAATGAGTTACTGCGGAGTGTGTGAGCAGGTGCTGGAAAATGTCACCAAACGTCATCTTTTGCATAGTAGAGAGAGGAGAGTTTGGCCTCAGCCCTTCCCGCAGAGCAATAGCCACGATCCAGGCGTTAGGAAAAAACCTGAGCAGTGTCTGTTAAAGGAACCCCTCTGCTCACTGCCTTCCCGCTCCCCTCTGCGCGCCAGCGACCACGCAGAATGGACAAGAGAGTGCAGAGAGGAAACGAAAGAACAGTCTGAAATATCTGCTGTTAATGCTAAACCTCTGTTGTTACAAGAAACGTGGTGCTGGATGGTATTTTTGAGACAGAAAACCCCTGGGTTTCATCCTGTTTTCACTTGCTGCAGATACACTGACAGTGTGGCCTGAAACAAATTAAAAACACGCCAAACTCTGCGCTGCGGTTTCAATGCACCAGCGCAGCAGGCTGGTTGGGGCCGCGCTGCAACGTGGAAGGGGGCGACTGCCGTCTGGGCCGGGCTGTTTGCTCCCGCATCCGCCGCAGCGGAAGGGCTCAGGCGGCAGCACCCCGTCCGGGCTGGGGGGGCCGAGCTGCGGGGGGCCAGCCAGCGCACCCGCGCCCTCCCTCCCTTCCCGGGGCCATCAGCCCCACTCCGCACACCCTGCCACTGACCAGCGGGGCTCACACACAGATTTTTATATTTTTGCAATCTTTTCTTTAAGAGACAACAGTGACAGAGGACAGCAGAGTTTCTATTTGCACAATCACCAGTACATTGGCACCAGTGAATTCTGCCAAAAAAGTGATGCACCGGCTCCATGTGATGCAAAGAACAGGCTGGGGGAGCGCCGGGGCGGGGGTAGTTCACATTACAGACTAATGCTCACATCTCTGCTCTACCCTTTAGCAGCAGAGAATCACAGATGTGATACAGGTTCATCTAAAACATTAGACACTTTCAGATTAATCCCATTTTCCTGCCCAAGAATTGGAGATGAAACATAGAGTTACAAATTTTACCCACCCAGACAAGTGACATTTCCGACACCAGAACAGTTTTAAGCTACCACGTAAGAGGGGGCCCAGGAAGGCTGCGCTGCAAGCAGATTATTAACTAGAGCAGACCCTGTGCCTTCAGTCAAGGCAGAATTTTCTGGTTTTTAAGCAGGCTTTACACCATCTTGTTCCTACTCCCGAGGTCACTCCTTCCAGCATCTGCAGTCCCAGCAGCACGCAGGCACACATTGCAGCAGCTCTCAGAGACCGTAATTAGCTTGCGAGTCTCACAGGCCTACAGGTTTTTGGCAGGGCAGGGAAGAATACCTCTTTGTAGCTTCCTTAGTGCATAGATTAAGTGCTTTTGCTTTGGATACAGTGGGGGACTCTTGATTACAGGTATTTAAAATTCACTGAAAAAGGAGCCAGGACTCACCAGTCCCGGGAAGGTGCAGGATTTAGAGTGGAGCTTTGGGATGTGAGGTGGGATTTGGGATCAGCAGCAGGATCCTGTGCAGGACACTACCAAGCCAAGTGTCGTGAACTCCAAGCAAGCGCAGCAGGCCCCGAGCAGACAGGGAGGGAGTCATCCTGGGGCAGGACACCCCAGCAGACACCCGCAGCCGCTTCTGGAAGCAGAGTGCACAGGAGGGTTGTGCTGCAGGACAACGCCAACAGAGAGCGGACCCCGTCAGCAACCTGCAGCCACTGCCACCGTGTGTCGCTGGGAGGCCTGGGGTGGCCCCGTGGGCGGGAGGCACCTGCAGAGGGGGAGAAGCAGCCACCTACAACTGGGCCACCTTGTTCCTGGGACAGGGACGTGACGGAAGGCGTTCGATAGCAGCCTTGGCTGAAGTCAGAGAGCGACAGAAAGCCTAAAGAGCGCTGCGGGGCTCCGCTGCAGGAGGGCGGGCTGCGGAGCACCCAGACTGCTGCCTACCCCCAGAGGGAAGCGGAGACCCTGTAATTCAGGAGCAGGACCACCCCACATGCCATGAGCCTCAAGAGCGGGGCCAGAGTCACCTGCCCAGCGCTATTGACGTGAACTTTGCCATCCAGTTTCAGACAGCTCGCTTTCAGGGTAGCTGGGCAGCACTCCTGGTAACAGGCAGCCTTCGTCCCCCCGGCACAGACTGGTTTGGCAGCCTTGCAGGCTCTGCTGCATCCCGCCATGTAATTCAAGCCCGTCTTCTTCATCTGGAAGGAGAAGAGAGACATTAGCCTGGGGGTCCTGCCAAGCCTCAAGTATTCACGTTACAGGGAGACACCCAGGCTCCTGGGCACCCAGCTCATGGGCTGTCCTGCTTTTTAGCCCCAAGGCCATACCTCGCAGAAGTCTTGCCCAACAATGCATCTAGCAACAGTCTTCTTGCCTTTGAAACATCCATCCCCGTGACAGGAGAACGCTGCACACACTTTCCCCTACAAGAGAGGACCAGAGGAGACACTGTATATTCATCGGTCCGGAAAGCAGGATGCCCAGGACAAGGACTGAACTTCAGACAGCCCTTCTTTCCCGAGGGCTCCTTTCTAAATCCCTCTCCGTTCTTGGTACTTGGCCAGTGCCGTCTCAGGCATTTTGGATAGAGAGGTAAAAGACTAACAGTGCCCCGTCTGAGACTGCAGGAAACTTCAGTGAAACAGCAGTGTAGCAAAGCAGTTCCAAACCCCCTTTTCCTTCCTCTTAACAGGGCTCTGCAGAGATAAGCACCGTCCCCTCCAGTAAGCTCAGGAGAAAGGCTGCAGCGCCCCATCGGTCCCCGCGCCCTCCCTGCAGTTGCCGGGAAGACTTGAGCCGATGTAAGTGCTGGGCTTGGGAAAAGGCCTGTTTGGCAGGGCTCGTTATGGACTCTTTCCTTTCAAAGCTTGTTAACGATTTGTTCCCCTTCCAGAGGCTTTTGACCCTGTAAAGCAGGGGCGGGAGGGACCTTTCCCTCTCCTGCTGCTCAGGTGGGTGCTTGGCCATCCCAGTGGCCGCAGCCCCCAGAGAGCCCACGGCCGCAGCAGCATTTGCCCCGTTGGTACCTACGTTTCGGGGGGGAGCTCGGGTGGTGGTGGTGGTCGTAGGCGGCGCAGTGGCGGGTGGCAGGTCACCTGCAGACACACGAGGAGCCCTGTGAGGCTGCGCCCAGCACACAGCCCACACAGAGCCCTCCACAGCCGCACACGGGACAGATTCATCAGCACCACTCACGCTGCGGCTGGAGCTGCTGGGCCACCCCCTCCCCTCGCCCAGCTCTGAGGGAGGGCAGGCCCCAGGCAGAGGAGATGTGCTGCTGCATCCACAGCCAGCCCTCTGGAATGGGGCTTTGCCCACCCGCCTCCCTCCTGCACAGCGGAATTAACCTCAGACCCTCAGAACGCCGCCGGGGACCCTG